GGACCGAGCAAGAAAGACTTGCCCGTGAAAAGACAAAGGAAAAGACCTTTTATGCATACAAGTTACCAGAGGCTGAGCCAAAGGAAATATTCACCCTAAAGTATTCGTATGTCTGATGAAGAACTTCTCGTTTTGCATCTGTCAGCTTTAATTTCTCCTTCGAAATAATTTCTTTTAAGACGAGACCTACTTTTCATCAAAGTTTGGTCAAAAAACTCTACTACGCGCCTTCATATATAAAATCGCAATGTAACATATCTCCGTTATAACTAAAGCATTTTTCTTGTCTCTGTGACTGGCTTAATGGTCGGCGGGTTCCATCAACAAGATATCAGTATGTATGAAGTGAAGACTTTTTTCTTAAACAGGAGTAATTTTGCGCCGACTTTCTAAGGACCGGTGGTTATATCAATGTTCGAAAGTGGGAGTATTTTCAGTAAGGACATTTTAAAAACTACCGAAGAAAAGCTATCAGACTATTTTACGCATATTTTGGTCGTTGGTTTTTCACAGGGCGGCCACACAATCTGTGTGTGTAACCGATTGTTATTTTATAGTAAATGTACTGGATGTACCGTTTGCTTCACCTATAGCGATATATTGCTAAGTATGTATATCTAGCCGGATTTTTGAAAACCGTGCCATCGGACTCCTGGAGCCCACACACCTTAAACTGACTCTACTATTAAAAGCAAATATCGCCAAGAAACTCAACTCTTATCCATGGTTCTCTTAAGGTGACTCTCTTCTTGGTTCCTGATTAGCAAAAGAAACATTCAAGTCCATCAAAAAGACACTGTGGCCTTGGCCATACACTCTAGCTGCTTAAAGGCCCTAAATGACGGAAGATGCTTGAGACTTAACCAAGATCTAAGCAGAGAATTCAAGATTAAATTACCCCCCATGCACATAAACCTGACAAGTTGTGGCTGCTTTCAGTGAAAACCCCGCATTTTGGTTGCTATGATACTTTGCACCTTAAAGGTTCCCTTGGTAACTGTGGCGATAAACTGCGCATTTGTATTATTTGCATAGCGATGCGTTCCATTCTCGTCAAAATCTTAGCCTCAGAGTCAGTAGCTTGCTTGGCAGGCGTTCGAAAGGGTACGGGAAGTGAATTTGGGCGCGACGTGCCCGAAATCCCCTCTCCCTCCCTTCCCTTGCAAACGCATCCCACGCAGGCTACAGAGTCAATTTTTTCTGTGTCAAGTGGGTCTACGATGAACTGGCATCAGTTAGAACGGTTTCCGTTTGAACTTGAAATGATTACGGACGAAAAGAATACCAACAAACTAACAACAATACAAGAATTTGATTGGGTTAACCTCCCACACAGACGTTTTAGGACTTGGTAACCCTCCACCGTTAGTGGAGGAGAAACGCGCGTGTGACAGAGCCCTAAGAATGTCTGCGTGGGAGGCTAAGCGGCTGTTGTTTGGTTCAACGCATTCCTATAAAAAGCTACAAAAATGGATTGATGGAAAGACGTTTTCCATGATCTGACTTGGCTTGACTAGAATGATGCTTTTTCGGAGTCAGTTACGAGTCAGGCCATGTTTCGACCTTCCCAACCACTGGCTGATAAAACAAATAAAAAATACTTATGGAAAATGCTTTTCAAGTTCAAACGAAAATCGCTCTGTTAGTTCAGTCTCTACTTGTTCGTTTCGCTGACGTCCTAAGACAAGGTGGTCAGTTCACTATTTTTAAAAACATGTGAGATATCACTCCTGGTTCTGAAGGTGTGCTGCTGAGTGAAGAAAGTACATGTAACAATATAAACTATTTCTTGTATAATGATCCTTTTAAAAAGAATAATGACTTTAATACAGAATCCAGATAGTGGCTCTTCACCTGTGCACTAAAAGTTATCTAAACTAATATTCTAGTAATTTCAAAATGCAATAACACGTTAAAAATTCTATGGGAATAGTTAGAAAAAAATAGACCATATGTAATATATTTGGGTTTGTGACACTAAAATAAAATACAAATAAAAAAAATATAGTAAAAATAAAAATGTCTGTGTCATTGAAAGAGTCGAATATGGCATTATTGATTTGCAAAAGAGTCCACATCATAGTCTTGAATTTTTCTGACATGGGTTGTGAGACTGTTGAAAAAAGTTGCGGCAGTGTCCTGAAAGGTGCCAGATTTTTGGGGGATACATAGTGGTGGAGCAACAGAGGATCTCTAGTTGTATGCAGACACTGCTTGAGTTCTAAGTTTGAGGTATTCTGTGTATCACAGTAGTCCAAAGGAAAGCGAAAATAATGCTTCTGTTTATATTTTTTTGGGGGTGGGGTGGGGGTGGGGGAGGAATGGACGGTTTATTGTTGGCAATCCGAAAGTGTCGAATTTTCGCCTCACAATATAATAGGCCATTTTCACGATGACGACATTTGACCTCAACTACGAGAATTCATTTCGCTTTTGCTTTCTTATTTAAATTTGTCAATCCCCCTGAGGGTTAAAGAACACTAGCCTTAATTTGCACAAGAAAACAACAAACTGAAGGATGTAAAATGACGTCTTACAGTTGTAGAAGGCCTAAATGTAATATACGACCCTAAATGCAATAAAGTCCTAAATGTAATAACATTTTGTCCTAAATGTAATAACCTATGAAGTTGCAAATTGCCGTAATTACTCAAATAAGCCCCGCATTTGGGGGGATTTAATAAGCGCCGCGGCGATTATTCGCGTAAATACGGTACTAAGAGGTATTACTATGGTTTTATGCGCCGCCCTTCAATAAGCGCCGCGTTTTTGGAGAAAAAACTTAATAAGCTTCGGTACATTTCCTTATGCACTGTGTAACTTGACGTTTACAAATAAATTGCTTGTAAAGGGACAAGATAAAAAAAACTTGTAAGCCTTAAAAAGTTTTTCATACTTCATTTTTCTTAAAGAAATTTACTGCAAAAACCGTGGATGAAGACCCTGTTGCTCGTCAACGTTGGATCTCTAGAAAAGAAATCTAATCAGCTAAAATATTAAGAACAAAAAACGAGAAGGGGCTGTTTACATGGAGGTGGGGGACCCCAGATAGGTGAGGTAACATGCGGCAGGTCACCCCTCCTATCATGTAAACGTGATCAAATTAAAATGAGAGATTATGTGGACAGGCGGGTTACCCCACCAAAGCGGGTTTCCTCACCTACCTGGGGTCCCCCACCTCCATGCAAACAGGCCCTAACTACTGCACAGCTGATAACAACGTTTACAAATAACTAAAGATAGTACGCGCGCACTTTGATTAGCCGAGAGATGTGTTTGCATGAGAGTATGTAAACATGTGTGGAATCAAGATCTTTTGCTCTTCGCGCGCTAATCACAAAAGCACGAATTTTAAAACGTTTTTGAGTTTCGAATTCTCCCAATCCCTCTAGTGTTTATATCAGGCTATACAAACACAGGAAAAAAGTTTTCTAGTGCTTAAATATTGCTTTTTTTGAAAAATACTGTTACTTTGCCGTATACAAGCAATTTATTTGTAAACGTTAAGTTAAGGAAATGTGCCGGATTTACACGAATTAGCGCCGCGGTACTTATTTGAGAGCGGTGCTTAATACCATAGTAATACCGCTTAGTACCGTATTTACACGAATAAGTGCCGCGGGGCTGATTAACTCCCCCCCCCCACCCCACCTTTCCAATGCGGTGCTTACTCGAGTAATTACTATAATTGGCAACTTGAGAGTTTATTACATTTAGGACTTTATTACATTTAGGGTCGTTTATTACATTTAGGCCTTCTACGTCATCGTGCAATTGTCTTATTTAATGAGGCTCCCAACTGTTGTGCGGCAATCTGCATTTCAGTGATTTACCGACGCCTTCTACAAAAGCTCTTACCAAATGAATTATTAGAGGTTTTCTTTTTTCTAATTGTCTTATCCTCATTATCAGCCTTTGACGAGCGTGTTTGCAATGAAACCACGCAAAACCACAAAAATGACAATCTTTGAATTACATGGGGGCGAGGTTGTTGCTAAACTGTCAGGAATGCCCACTAACTGAATTATTTTGTTATTCCTGTTTGTTAGGGCTGAGAAAAAAAATAAAGTAGGCTAGCAAGTTATCATTCTTTTGCTACCTGAATATTGAAATTGAAAGAAAAAAGGAAGAAAAGTTTGATAGCTTACTAACTTGGGCCCTTATCAACCTCGAGTTTCACACTCACTCATAGCCTGCAGTGCAGGCGTATTTTGGGTGGGCAAAACCTTGTTCGTGTTCGTAATATTGTTGTAGCCACCATCTTTGATTTTATGACAGTGTAAGACTGGGGAGAGTAGAAATAGTAACCCTTACGGTAGGTCCGAGGACGAAACAACGAAAGGGGGGAGGGGAGAAAAAAAAATACGGCGTTTTCTCTTCTCTCTCCCCGTCCCCTTCCCGCTCCCTTTGACTCGCCCCATCTCCTCCTCTCTTCGGGAAGTTTCAACATGGCACTTTCGCGAGCAAATTGCGCGCTCAAAGAAAACGCCTGCACTGCAGGCTAACTCACTCACTAAAAAGTTGTCATGGTGTGTCAAAGTTAGCCGGAGAAGTGAACTAATATCACTCGCCGGGAGAAATTGGTTGTCTTTACACTAGAGATCTTTCACATAACTCCAACACCATACGCTAATGAGTCACAATACAGAGACTATATGCAACTCACGTGTGTTTCTTGCCTAGTCCCTAGGCCTCATTATTATGCGCGGCCGATGCGTTTCGGGTCACGTGGTCCGAGAAAGTTTTTGAGGCCTAGACAAACTCGGAGAAGTGAGACATTTTGTGTCACTGGGGGCGGAGTTTTTGGAAGCGGGTGAGCTGTCAATAACTTTTTCGCGCTGATGAAAGATGTCCAGCAGCCATGGAGAGTAGAGAGGATATTAAAAGAGGTTAACCGAGCATTTTTACTCTATGCACGTTTTCATTGTTGAAAGTCCTTTGGCCTTTCTTTTTCATTTATCTCACTAAACTGATTTGAACTTTATTTCATCTCAAAAACT